GTATGGAAAACATATGGTGGCTCAGGTAACACAACTGGTGTGTGCTAGTGTGTGTGTGTGTACACACACAGAGTACGAAACAATCGTTCCTTCTCCAGATGGTGCTTTTTTAGTAGAGACACCAGATTGTGGATTTTGAAGAGAACTGAAAGTGCGGCGGCGGCGACGGCGGCGACGGCTGATTGGCTCTGATTTCAGCTCCTCGTAGATCATTTTATTTCCTCTCGTATGCCTATTTTAAAACCAATCGCCGCGTGTTAGAATCCAGTCTGGAAAGTTGGTGTCGAGACCAGACATTACATACAAAAAAAAAAAAACCAGATCATTCTTTCCCACAATCCCCCTCTTCACTCCTATAAAGCCCCCTTTCCTATTTTTCCATTATTTCTTTTTCCCTTTCCCTCGTTCTCCCCGGACTCTGCTGCTGCTGCTGCTGCTGCTGCTGCTGCTGCTGCTGCTACAGGAGCGTGCACGTGGAGGTTGTGTTTTTTTTTTGCACTGACAGTCTTTTGTTTCATTCAGAGCTGAAACAATTAATCAATGATTCGATTATAGTTGTCATGAATCGAGGCGACGTCCGTGACTAAAGTTTGGGAACACTTTAAAATGCAGCATTTTTTTAAAAAAAAACATACTTTATGTTATAGATATATAGATATTTTGATGGTGTTTGGTAATCACTTCAATAACCTCGAGCAGATTCCTCTGAAAAAATACCATTTATTATTGGTTCCAGTATGTTGTCAGTGTTGAAGTAACTTTCTGGGGGGGCAGCGGGGGGGCGGTGTGTGTGTTTATGTCTCATCTGTGGGCTGGAAACCACTGCTCCACAGGACACACCCTTCAGTTCAGGCTACTGCACGTTTGTAGACCTGCATGTTCTGACAAGAACTGACAGTCTGTGATTTAACCAAACCAGTCTGGGGGGGGGGCGGGGGGAGTGGGTGTTAACCTACGGTTTTTAATTGTTTTTTTTTTTATTATTATGACCACACAAAGCTGAGACACAGAAATCAAACTTGAACTTTTTCTCCTGTCCTCACTTCACCCTTCACTACAATTACAGTGGCTGATGACACGTTTTTCCAGATTTTTTTTTTCTTTTTTCTTTCCTTTCCCCCTCTGTTTTTTTTTTTTCTCTCTCTCCCCACGGTGAAGCCTCCTATCTGTGCGGAACATACCCCAGACGCTGGCTCTCTTGCAGATGAGCCTTTCAGCATCAGCTGGCTGTTTACAGCCAGAGAGAGAGAGGGAGAGAGGGAGAGAGAGCAGTGGTTAATGCAACAAATAATTTGCATTCAGACTCGGGGATTAGAGAAGAAGAAGAAGAAGAAGAAGAAGAAGCAGAAGAAGCTTATCACCTTATGCAATCGTAAGTTTGGCCGTCTAATTAAAACAGCTGTCTGCAGACGGTTTGTTTTAGCGCAGACTAATTCCAGGAGTGACTTCTGTTATCGTCTCAGGGACAAACACTTTCTTTCTCTCGGAGCAGACGCAGCTCCGACGCTAAACATTCCGTCTTTTCTCCCTCTGTCGCTGCTTTTCTCTTTTTTTTCACCTTATGCAATCGCTGAGATTGCAACCAAAGTACCACGTCTATACACAAACACACACACACACACACTCCTCTGAAGGTGTAATCACCCCCCTCCTCCCCCCCAGCAGCAGCAGCATCATCATCATCCGTGTAGTTACAAAAACCCATGGCTGCTCCTACAGCTGTAATGGTGGAAAAAAATAAGAGGCCGCAGGCAGTGAAGTTTTTTTTTGTTTTTTTGCTGAGAACTTGAATTATAAATGACCTCCACAACGTTGACCAGTGCAGCAGCAGCAGCATCAGCAGCAGCAGTAAACATGTCACAATTAACGCGTCATGGTTTCCCCTGTAACATTTCTGTGCGGCCGTGCGGCCCATGAGCGTCCGCCTGCGTCTCTGTCGCCGTGTATCAAATTTTCGCTGTTAATAATAGATGTGTTTTCTGTAAATATTTCATGGTCGGCTGACTGAAAACACATGCCTGACAGAGATATGGAGGTAGAGTGGGGGAGGGGGAGGGGCAGAGGGAGGGGATCACATGAGTGACAGAGGGGGGTTTAGTGAGTAAAGAAAGAGAGAGAGAGAGTGAAATTCAATAGGCAGGATTTTAACCCTCTCCTTTTACCTCCATCCGGCGCCGGCGGGCGATGAAAACACGACTCGCTGACGGTAATATATATAAATATATGTTAACTTATCTCCTCCACTTTTCTCCCCCTCTCTCTCCCCCTCTCTCCCTCCCTCCCGCTCACACAGGGCTCCCAGGATTCGACAGGAGGACAGGAGGGTCTGGTGGCTCCACCCTTCACAGCATTCCCGCCTCCTCCCCCGCCCCAGAACGGCCTCCCAGGGACGGAGTTTGGCCCCGGGGCCATGTTCAGTGCCGGGGGCCAAGGTGGAGCAGAGGTAGGGGCCGGAGGGGCTAATGCAGGCACCGCCTCCGCCACCGCCAACGGCAGCAGCAACGTGAGTAACAACGTGCTCACAAATGCCCCGAGTGGTAGTTAACTGTCAGAGCAAACGAGGGGCATATTTTATGATAATCACAGACGACACGCTCCTGTTTTTCTCATTTTCAGACATATTTATGGGTTTGGGGTTTTTTTTGTTTTGTTTATTGCTTTTATCACATAAAATATTAAGCCACGCTGTTAATAACGGTCGTAAAGTCCCGTGGACCAGACCTGCCTCGACATCTGCTGTCTGGATTTAAGGGTTCGCATTAACCTTTTGTTTTCACTCACGTTAGCGTGATGGCTACAGACGGCCGACACATTTAATTAGCTTTAACTGTACGGCTGTGAGCGAGCATCAACACAACGTCACAACATCACAACACATCTGCACCTAAGTGCACATCAACGCAACAGGATTCATGACAACAACATTCAATTAAAGGGTTGAATTTTTAGACACATCTCCAGGCTGCGTTTTTTCTAAAAAGTGAAAAAAAGTAAATGAGAATTTTCATTAATATTATAATATAACCTATTATAAAACAAGTTTTTATTGTTGTTTTTTTCTCTATACTAATGAATTTAATTTTTTTTTTTTTATCACTTCCATAGTTCCATCTGTTGTTATGAAGTTTCCTCATATTCTCATCCTGCACGTATTAAATATTGTTTCTCCAAAGTGCGTTTAAACGGCAGATATTTACATTAAGAACGTTGAAAACGACCTGAGTTTGACCTCACCACACGGCACTAAACCCAAATAAAAATGTAGATAAGATTGTAATGTTTATTTTTAAACCCAGTCAAAGGCATGAACTCACACTCACACACACACTCTCACACACACTGAATTTCTTCATCTCCCCGTATTGACTTTAGAGAAACCTGCAGCAGATGTCATCGTGTTTAGTCAAATAAAAACGACCGATGAACACAGGAATTGATGAAAGTGCAGTGGGACTGAAGATCCTACAGATCTCAGATGTGCTTTTGGCCTCTCTGATCCACAGGGGAAACCGGACGAGACGTCCCAAGGAGAGGCGGGTGTGCAGTGCAGCGCGGGAGGCGCGGGAGCGGGAGGATCTGCCGGAGATTCCTCAGAGGCCAAAGGAACTCCGAAACGACTCCACGTCTCAAACATTCCCTTCCGCTTCCGGGACCCAGATCTCAGGCAGATGTTCGGGGTAAGAAGCGTTAGAATAGTCACAGAATTCCTTTTTTTAATACTGTAGTACACACTCAGTATTCAGGAGACTCAGTAGTACATACTCAGTAGTACACAGTGTGTATTCCTCTGTTGCTTCAGGAGAACATTTTCTTCTCTTATATGTGTCACTGTGTTAGCGTCGGTGACCAAACTAGGGAACAGAGTCAGAGCCAAGTGTACGGCCAAGAAAGCCACAGAAAAACTCTCTGAAGTAGAGTAAAGAGGTTTTCTGTGTAACAGTGACCCCTAGTGTGAGGTTAGCGTAACTTACTGTAAGATTTTTATGTAAGTTTCTGACCTTGCAGTTAATTTGCCCTTTAGATAAAGTTCAAACTTTTTAAACAGTTACACGTTGTTGTTGATTGTTTTTAATCTGATTTTTTTTTTGTTGCTAATTTTCTCATTCATTCATTTGCAGCAATTTGGGAAGATTCTGGATGTAGAGATTATTTTTAATGAGAGGGGTTCAAAGGTAAGTACGCCGACGTCACCTGACCCCCCGTCCCCCTAGTGGACAGGTTTCTCCTGTCGTTAATGCCCCTCCACCACAACCACACCCCCCTTTTTTTTCTTGCACTTTAGAGAACTTGAGCATCACATTTTGTAATCTATTTTGAAATGTCAGAATGCTCTTCAAGTGTCCCTCAGTCAACACCAGCAGCTTGTTCCTCCACTCTCTCTCTCTCTCTCTCTCTCTCTCCCTCAGGGATTCGGCTTTGTGACGTTTGAGAACAGCGCCGATGCAGAAAAAGCCAGAGAAAAACTCCACGGCACGTTGGTGGAAGGTCGTAAGATAGAGGTAATTTTCTCCCTCTCTCTCCTCCTCCTCCTCCTCTTCCTCTTCCTCTTCCTCCTCTTCTGTCTTTTGTTTGTACTCCCATCGTACTTCTGCTCGATCACTCACTGCTAGCTAGCTAGCTCCCATCCTCCCTTTAGTGACATGCTCTGATGCAGCCCACTGGTATCACATCCCCTGGTTTTCCCTATTGTTTTTTTTTATTTCTTAATTTTTTAAATTTTTTTTTTTAAGTCGTTTCTTTTTCCTTTTTGTTGATGTTTTGTGGTGAGAATGACTGGGGGTGCAACAACTACATTAAGCATGCTGGTTACTGTTTCTCCGCAGTATTTTGTGTCCCCCCCCGCCTCCCCTCCCGCCTCACAATCAATGTTTTTTTTTCTTTTACCTATCCCTCACTCCGTCTGTACAATTCACCTTTCCTTATACTGATTGGCACCACTCTCATGTACTTTTGTGCCACGGCTGAATTTGTCATACACTAACATAGTTAATATGTCTATCCTTACCACATGCTTCGATAGGATATGTGAATACTTTGGTACTTTTTCTCATCTCCGATTAGCTTTAACAACCCTTTGATCAATTACATCACTGTATACTGGACTGAGTCAGGGCTGGCTACTGTGAGCCTGAAGCTAAAGTCATGAAAACAGGTAACCCCCCCTCCTCCCCCTCCACTTTTATCTATTGCCTCCTCACTTTTTTTCTTTTTTTTTTTTTTTTTTTCCCACTGATGCGCTACATGTTACCACACAGAAGTTATTTTCTGCCACAGAATTGGAATGATATTTGTGTAGTTGGCACCAGAGGGTTCAAGAGGAACGCAGCGAGAAGGATGATGCATGGCAGATTGCCGCCAGATGCTCTTTTATTCAACCCCTCGGTGTAAAAAAAAAAAAAAAAAACACCCCTTCTGCGTTACCTTCCCCTCCGCTGGTGTTGTGGCTAAGTGGTTGTGACAAGCTTATGGCTCCTGGTGCAACAGCAGCATGCTGGGAATCAAACTCTGACGCATGTTCACTGGTTTTCTAACACAGATCTGTACACTTTTTGTTTTGTGTCCAAATGTCCGTGTGTGTGTGTAATGAGGATTTCTATGAAACATTATTATTGTTTTTGATTTGTCACATGAGCATGTGCTGAGATTTTGAAAATTTTTTCTTTTTTTTTTCTTTTAATTTGATTGGCTGTTCAATCAGCCAGTCCTTCACTCTTCCTCTGTTAACGGCAGCCACTGTAAGCCAGGGTTTCTGCATGGGCTTACTGTGGTGATTTCCTAGTGGTGAGTGTGTGTAAGTGCGTGGGCAGGTGGGTGTGTGTGAGAGAGTCAGTTCTTGCATGATGGATGAGGCTGGCTGGACCCCCCCCTCCTTCAGTTGTGTACTCTCAGTTCTGCTGCAGCGTGGCGTCCACCTGCATCCACTGGTACAACAAACTCCCCCTCCACCTCCTCCTCCCCCCTCAGTCAATCAGCAAGCTGAATGGATACTGATGGAGACCATGTTCCCCTCCATCCGTCAGCGGCCGGCGTTGTCTCCAGTGTTGCATGACACCAGTCGCTCGTGTTCACGGCAGAGCAGTTCTGTCGTGTCTTCTCACTCGTTTACTCTGCATGCGCTGTGTCGGGTGGGGGGGGGCCCAGGGGGGGCTACGGCAGGGGCCGGACTGGCTGCG